TGGCAGATAATTGTACTTCTAAAACCCTTTTAATTTCAAAAATATTTTTTATTTTCTGTTTATTTTTTTTATCACAAGAAAATTATAAATTTTTTTTAAATAATATGWTATTCAAAATTAAAATTATTGACACTACAAGTTTTTCTAGTAACTAGTTAGAGTAATAAACACATTTAAAACTATACTGACTTCTTTGGCTGATTATATTAAACTGATTTGTGCCATCAATTGTCAATATATTGTTATGCAATCAGTTAACACAATACCATCATTCACAGTAAGTTGTATACTTATCAAAACTACATAATTAAGTATCAAAATAATATGGTGAAATATTTATAATATAGATATTATTATTAGATATACTCTTTAACTTAATACAACTCACATTTTTGAAATCATCTTGCACATGGTCATACATTTGACGRCCTTTCATATTATTTGTTTCCAGAAATTCCTTTTTTCTTGCAGCTATTAGATCACTTGTTGTGGGTTTTATTTTAATTTGATTTTCCTGGAATAAATTTAATAAATAAGTGTAATAAAGTTTTATGGAAGATTACAAAAAAAAAAATGGATTAACTATAATATGATAAATTGATATTAATCAAAATTTAATGGACTTATGATCACTAAATCATAACTCATTAAATATTTATGGAACTCAACGTTCAGCATTATTAGAAATTTATAGACAATCCTATCAACTCAAAATTGCAATGTTTATTAACTGTAATTATTATASTACCTAGCACATATGTGTACATACATCACAAYKAGTTGAACAGTTAAAAATGTTTTTGAAATTGGCAAAATAATTTTTAAAAAAAATTGCAGAAATGAAAACCTACAAGACTTCAAGAAACATACAACATAACTACAGAAACAAGTAATATCGAGTACCAACTAAGTGGACATTAATAGGCATCAGCTACATAATTTTTTCTGAGGTTGTAAAAACGAGAATCACCGATACTAATCTTACCAGTACACTTACCATTAGTTAAGTTAGCKGTGAGTCAAAAAGCAATACAATATCATTTGGTGACTGTAAAGAAATGATGAGATAGTAATAATTATACTGTTGTTCAAAACGATCAATATAATTCACATAATGCCTCAAGAATAAAATCGTCAAAAGTATAAAGAAATAAAAAACAACTACGTTAAAATCAAAAAAAAAAATTTATAATTTAATATTTAAACACGACGACGCGTTTTGCTTGTCACATGCTCAAGCAGATGACTGCCAGAAGCCAGAATCGGCAGAATCCGAAAAATTAGTGCTCTGCTTATCACCAATGATAGGCCGCGAAATTAATCTGAACAGGCAACAGGGTAACCTACAACGGCCGAGATTCAGTGGTTCCAAAACGTACAAATGATTATTGTTTCCGAGCGATTTGGCGGTAAAGCATATTATTGTTGTTTTTTTCGGTTGTGAATGATTTGAATTTTCGATTGTTTTGAAATTTTGAATCTCGAACCCGCCGACTCGTCGAAAATTATTTTAATCATTTTTGAGTTATCACATATTACTTAAATTAATAATTATAGAGATTAATGTTTTTGAAAGTATAATATGTAGGTGTTAAATGTTATTATTATTTGACATTGTACTCGACTA